ACTCTTAGGTTGGTCTCCACTTCTACGCCAACCTATTCATAGACAAAATGTAATCAATTATTAATAGCCAATACATTCTCAAGTGATAGTCCATTGCATACCTGAATGTTTTCGCCACCCTTTTGATAGTAACAGAGATGAGCGCCGGTATTGCCTAAAGTTCCGCTTAATGTGAAACTATTGGGAGACGAGTAGCGACCGGCCAGTGATAGCGCTGTAATGCAATCAAACACTCAATCGCTATTCAGTTGAAGATATATTGATTTAAAGTGTAAATTACCGGCGATTTCATATCCGGGCACTTGTGGGCCGTATTGATAGGCGAGTTCTCCCCCTAAGGCTACTCTTTCACTAACGTTTTGCAAGTAGTGAAGGACTGCCACTCCGGACGAGTTAATTAAGTCAATGTTGCCTAAAGTGAGGGATGCGGTGAAGTCGCGGCCCCTGTAGTCGGTGGTGAGTTGTGCCATCACGCACTTGGACTCCTGGATCTGAGCGCCGGCTTGTACTTTGACGCGATCGCCAAACAGATGCAGTATTCTGGAGGTGAGGTTCCCCTGGGGGTCCACCTCGCCGTACAGTATGGGATAGGCCTCTGTGGGCGACGTCTGTTTAGTGCCGATATATGTGGCGCCGAACCGATAGCCCGATGGGACGGACACCCCGTTCGACATATTGAGGGTATGAGTCAACTGAAAGTGATTGCTCAGCCCTTTCGTGATCACCACTCGCACGCCATCGAAGGGCATCGGAAACACCTCTGCATTCAAAGCAAGTCATCAATTGATGGCATAGTTAGAGGCAGTGACCAAACCTTTGCACTTCTTGTGCAGCTCTTCCATCGATCCCGGGTTCAGGTCGTTGTCACCGGCGCTCACATCGGCCGGTGTCTGAGTCGCTGGTGGTGTGGGTGCCAACTGGGGTGGGGGTGGGGGTGGGGGTGCACTGGCCAACACGTTACCCATTGTAGTGGCTTTGTATTCAAGTGACGATCACTTAATAGATGACTAAATGATGACAACTATTGCCTCAACTGATGACAACTGAACGCAAGTTTGTGTCACAATCTCATTGAACACACATTCAAACGATTCAATCGATTGTCAACTGAGTGTCGAATGACTGACCGAACAATGAGTGCAACAATCGGTGTTTCAATCAATTAATTGTAAACACAATCAGAGTTTAAAAAACCGATTCATTCGAGACATGCTTTCCATTCAGTGAACACTAATAATGTTGTCAACCATTCACTCCCCGAACACTGCATTTCAATGCCATTGCTGTCAACCAATGAAAGCATTATTTATGTGACACTACTTATGGAACTTTCTGTTACTTCACCCGTTAGTCATACCGTTCATACATATCGTGTCGTATGGAAGGGAAGTGTTGTGTCATTCGGTT